CACCTCCACCCTGCCCCCTCACCAGCCCTACCAATTTGAATTCCTAACCCTCCCTCTGGCCTCCTCCCTAGCCTGGGGCCCTACCCTCAGGGTGGACGAAAGACACTGGGGCAAAGGGACACACCTGGGCTCTGACCCCCTGCTGTGCCACCAGCTTAGTGGGGGGGGGGACCGACCTTGGCAGATGACCTTTCCTCTCTGAGCCTGCATTTCTCCATCCGTGAAAGGGGAAAAATGTGGGTGGGGCCGCTAAGACTCCGGGAGGGGTCAGGGAAGGCAGTTCTCCTCCTGGTCACTCAGAGTCCAGTCCTAAACACTCTTAGGGTAGGCTGGGTCCCAAGCTGGTAGGTGCCTTTCCTGTTAGGAACAGGTCCCTAAACCCCGATGGGTGCTGCAGGCCAGGTCCAGATTCCTGCACTGAGGGTGAGACGTGGTGTCAGACACGTTGAAGGGGGAGGCTGCAGAGTAAATGAGTAATCCCAGGGTGCAGGGATTATGCCTGGGGGCTGGCCAAACACGTGGGCGGAGGACCCAAATCCAGGACAGGAGGGACAGGGAGCAAAGCTGCCCCAAAGAGGGACTAGAGGCTATTAATTTTCTTTGTTTGTTTTCTGCTATAAGGAGTGGGGATTCTCCAGAGACAGAGACACAGAGAGAAAGAGAAAGGGAAAGTGAAATGGCACCCCCAAACTCCACCAAAGGGATGGCCATGCTGCAATCTCTTGTCCACACTCCTCTCAGGATTTGAGGACCCTCGTGCGCCTGGTGCGTTTTTCAAGCTGTTAGGTCCAGGACTTGAACCACATAGTTGCCACCTTAACCACCACGCCACCTGGGGTTGGCCCTGGAGGGCATTTCTTTCTTTCTTTCTTTTTTTTTTTTTTTAGGGGTTTTTGCTTGCTGTGCTCCCCAGACAGACAGAGAGAGACAGAGAGATAGAAAGCGAGAAATCACCCCCCTGGGGGGATGGTCATTACGCAATCCCTTCTCCTCCATTCTCCTCTCGGGATCTTGGACACGTACCCACACGCGCCCGGCGTGAGTTTTAAGCCACCAGGTCCGAGACTCGAACCATGGTCGACTACATGGGAGTCCAGCGACATAGCCATTACACTAACTGCTGGCTCCCCCTGGAGGGCATTTCTGAAGGACAACTTGGAGGGAGCTGGTCCAAGGGGCAGGGCCACCGGAAGGCCAAATTTGGAGAAGAGAAATTCAAGATAGAGTCCAGAAAGCAAAGAACTGCCCAGGGGCTGCTTAACTTGGAAGTAAGAGACCAGCAGATGGCAAAACGTTTACGTCACTGGACTCGCACGTAGTTGACCCCGATTCGAGTCCTAGACCTGGTGGTTTAAAATTCACACCAGGCACGTGTGCATGCGTGCTCAAAATCCCGAGAGAATGGAGGAGAAGGGATTGCAGCATGGCCAACCCCCAGGGGGTGATTTCTCACTTTCTGTCTCTCTGTCTCTCCAGCGAGTGCACACACCCTATAACAAACACAGCAAACACTCTTTAAAAAAAAAAATAAAATAAAAAATCACTTGGAAGTAAAACTTGGAGCCAGGATTTGGGATCGAGCTGAGCAGGAGGTGTTGGGACGCTTACTCCTAAAACCACCCTGACCAAGGGGGTGTTGCCAGTGGGGCCCCTAAGATTGAGGACAATGTCTTAGCATATCAGCCAACCAGGTGCCGCCAGCCAGGCAGTCAGTTACAGAAGGATTTACCCAGGATTCTAGGGGCCCCATGAGAAGGCAGAATGGGGGTACATAAGCCTATGCAGACCCCATCCACCACCTGGGACAGGGACAGGGACAGGTGTGGCCGAGCCCAGAGGCTGGCCTGAACCTGTGGGGCCGGCTGGGGTATCAGCAGTGCCACCATGGAACCGTCTGTGCCCGGGTTCCTGGATCTGGTTCCACCTGGCAATACTCGGTTTCACAAGTCCAGAGCAGGCCCAGGTGTGTGCTATCTTACCTGGAACACCTGACCTCCTTGAGCCCCACCAGGCTCTGCAGGGGTGAGGCAGGGAGGGAGGTGGCAAGAGGTGCAACCAAAGGCAGACCGAGGAGAAGTAGCTCTGTTTTTCAAAATCACGTCCCGTCATATCCGTGTGCTTGTGCAATCCTTTCCAGAGTGCCTACAGTGACTGAAAAGGAGCTGTTAATCTTAGGTTTTGCAAATGAACAGAGACAGAGGGCAAAAGGGAGCAGGTCAGGGGGAGGTGGAGGGAGACAGAAGAGCTAGAGGCCCTGGGGTTAGGGGTGAATGGTGCTGGGACAGGCTCAGTGACCCTTGTACCAGAACTCCCTGGACCCCGCCCCTTTGCCCACTCGATAGGATCCTCTGCCCTCTGGCCAGCTGGACTTCCCAACCCCCTCAGTCCCCTCCTCGGCAGGTCTGGACTGGACAGGCTCTGGGCCTCCAGGAGGGAGCCTGGTGCAGGCCATGGCCAGGCCCTGCCCTCTGGAAGCCTGTCCCCCTCCCTAGATCTGTGTGACTGCTGAAAGTCTCCAGGTTCTTGGGGGAAGCCAAGGTGGGCCCAGTACCGAAGCCTCCAGGCCCCACCTATGTCCTTGTCAGCTTCCGTGGTCTTCCTTTGGGTCCTCACCCTGAGCAAGTGCTCTGCAAACAAGATCTGCTCAAAACAAACCCAACCCCATTGCAGATGGGGAAACAGAGACTCAGAGAGGCCTCTCAGCTGTCCACTGGCAGGCTGGACTTCAGACCCATGGGGCTGAGTTTCCAGCTCTTCTAACCTTGTGGGCATGCATGCACATGTGCCCAGGATGCTTTTCAAACTGCTGGGTCTCGGACTCGAGCTGCAGTGGGCCATGTGGGATCCAGCTACCTTAACCTCTGCACCTCCTGCCTGCCTGCCTTATGTGTCTTCATTCATTCATTGAAATTCATTCACCTAAATGTTAGGATTTAGGGAGTGGGGCTGGAAGAAGGATGAAGAAGAAGCCCTTCTTTTTTGGAGAGATCTTTTGCTATAGGGCATGTGTGCTCAGCAGGGAGACAAGAGAAACAGACAGGCAGAAAGGGAGAAATACTCCCCAGAGGGAATGGCCATGCCTCAATCCCTTCTCCTCCATTCTCCTCCTGGAATTGTGGGCACACTTGCACAAGCACCTGGTGTAGTTTCAAGCTGCTGGGTCCGGGACTCGAACCACAGTTGACTACATGGGAGTCCAGTAACGTAACCATTATGCCATCTGCTGGTCCCTAAAGAGGAAGGCCTTTCTAAGCCTGGACATCTGGCTGACCAGATCTGACGCTGCTACTAGTCTCCTGGAAGGCTGGCCCCTGCAGGTGTGTGGTGGGGTCGAGGAAGCCTGGATTCCAGGCAAGTTTGGAAAGATTTCCTGCTTGCCCAGACACTGAGACTTGAGGCCTGATCTGACAGGTGTGGCCAGGCAGCTCTGCCCAGGTGTGGTAATCTCCAGGGAGTGACCCATAGGTGCACCCAGGCTGCCCCCTGGTGGTATTGTAAAGAAGCTCCCAGGACCTGTAACCCTCCCAGGAGATGAGATTCCATACCAGGAAGGTGGTACTGGACCAGGTCTTCCCTCTCCTCCCTCCGCCTCTGCTCCCCAGGTTTTCCATGAGCCTCCAGGCATTGCCTGCCCTTCCTGCTGTTCGGGATGCCCTTCCTTTCCCTGGTCCAGCTGTCTACATTCTTGTCCCCCTTGGGAAGGGACTCCTTCTGACAGTACCTACCCTAGCCTCAGCCCCAGCCCCTGCCCCTGCCTCTGCCCCTGCCCCTGCCCCTGCAGTGAGAACGAGCAAACCCTTCCTCTGCTGTCCTGGGTCTGGGTCCCTATTGCAGCAGCTAGAGTGGGGCAGGATAGTGCGGCATGGAGCCTGGTACACAGAGGGTATCTGAGCACAGCACAGGGGCCACAAGCAGGGTGACTGAAAAACTTTGTCCCTTCCTTTGGCACACAGGTAACCACTGATGTTTAACTTCTTTTTTTTTTTTTTTTTTTTTTTTTTTTTTATAGTTTTTTTTTTTTTTTTTTTTTTTTTCAGTTTTGCTATAGGGCCTGTGTACAAACTGGAAAGAGATGGCAGGGCCTGGGTGTTGGGATGAGAAAGCATTCCTCAGGGGACATGGCCATGGCAAATCCCTTCTCTTTTGTTCTTGCGATTTGGGGCATGCATACAAGCCTGACTTTTTTTTCTTCTTTTCTGTTTTGTTTCTGTTTGTTTGTTTTTTGTTTGCCATAGGGAGAGATGAGAGAGACGAGAGAGAGAGAGAGAAAGTGAGAAATCGGGACCAGTAGTTAGCATAATGGCTATGTCGCTGGACTCCCACGTAGTCGACCGCAGTTCGCGTCCCGGACCTGTTGGCTTAAAAGTCACGCCAGGTGCGTGTGCGTGAGTGCCGAGGATCCCAAGAGGAGAATGGAGGAGAAGGGATTGTGGCATGGTCTTCCCCACTGGGGGGTGATTTCTCTCTTTCTGTCTCTCTGTCTCTGTCTTTCTGGTGAGCACACGTGTCCTATAGCAAAAACCTCCCCGCCCCCCGCAAAAAAAAAAGCATGTATCTCCCTTCTCTGGCCAAGAAAACATTTCTTCAGTCCTGTGGCCCACCCCTGGACAGGAATGGAGGCATGCTTGTGTTTCTGTTGGTTGTGCTTGAAATTCTAGAATAGACCTTTTCTCCTATGAACTTTTTTTTTTTTTTTTTTGGAGAGGTCTTTTTTTTGTTATAGGGCGCATGTGCTCGCCAGGCAGACAGAGAGACAGAAAGCGAGAAATCACCCCCCAGGGGGGACGGCCACGCCGCAATCCCTTCTCCTCTATTCTCCTCTCGGGATCTTGGGCACGCACGCACACGCGCCCGGCGTGAGTTTTAAGCCACCGAGTCCGGGATGTGAACTGCGGTCGACTACATGGGAGTCCAGCAACATAGCCATGACGCTAACTGCTGGTCCCTCCTATAAACATTTTAATGTGGTGTTGAACAGAAGATAGGAAATAACATTCTGATTGCATTTTGTTTTTATTTATTTGTTTGTTTAAGATGCAGACTTTTCTTGAATAATAAACTACTAAAGGAAACACACGTTGATCACAGAAAAAGGCTCTTCTCCAAATACCTTTCCCTGATTGACGCCTTTGAAACAGCCTGTCAGACTCTGGCGGGGAGGGGAGGGCTTGGCTAGTTTTATTTTCTTTTTGGAAACAGCTCAGACTTAAGCCCTGTTTTGTCAGAGGCTGGGAGATACTTGGGGGCTGCCATTGGGTTAATGCAATGGCGCTTGGAGTAAATGCTGCTTATGGTAGTGAGGAGGGGTGCTGGTGGGAGGGCCCACATTACTTGCTTCTCCCCCAGTGGGGCGTGGGTGGCCAGAGGCCAGTCCCCTGAGAGTGAGTCTTGCTCATTCTTCATGGAGGGGCACGTGATCCAGCAGGTGGGCTGGGACCAGGCCCCTGTGGCCGCCTGACTCGCCGTAATAGAACCCTTTGTCATCCACGGGCCCGTAGACAGTGACCACGTCCCCTGCCCTCAGTGCCAGCTTGCCCTTTGCCCGGCCTCCTACTTGCCCATCTCTGGGATCATAGTCCAGAGCAGCCATCATGGTCTTCGGAGCCCATAAACGGGGCGTTCTAGACTGCCCTTGGGGCGTGGAGAAGGGGCTCTGGCAGCTGGCGAGCCCCCCAAAGTCCTTGAGGTGGGCCACAGAGGGCACATGCCTTTCCACCAGCGAAGGCCACCCCCCATCAGTTTGCTCTGTGCCTACGGCCATCTCGGCCACCAGGTGCCCAGGGATGGTGCCCACCCTCCCGTTGCACTCGCCGTGGTAGAAGCCGCGGGCATCCTGAGAGCCCCACACGCTTAGCAACTGCCCCTTCTGGAAGGTCAGCTCCTCCTCTGCAGCCTTGGGGTTGGCAGACATCACCAGAGGGTTATAATCTAAGAGGGCCACAAAGACCCTGGACGAAGCGTTGGCCCCCACCGCCAGCTGCGGGGAGCCGGCCCTGGACGTCGTACTGACGTTGCTGGACGGGGCTAGACACAGCGCGGAGCTGGGCTTGTGGAGCTGGCGTTCTTTTCTGCCTCCTGGAGCCTGCCCACACCCGCTCTGGGGCCTGAGCTGTTTTCTCTGCCCTTGCCTCTCCGTGCTCCATGGGCCTGAGCCCATGGCCACCTCCTCCTCTGAGATGTGATGGAAGTCAGACACGAATTGTTGGCTGGGGCCCAGATGGGACGCTGTGAACAGTTGGGTATCTTGCTTTGGCCTTAGGGTCTTCTCAAGGGCAGCCTTTTCCTGACAAGGGTCTTTCCTGGGCCCACGCTCAGAGGACAGGAGGCCAGACCCCGGAGCAGGGCTTTTGCTGGTGCCCACGCGCTGGCTTTCTTCGCTCCTAGACTGGCCCCTGTGGTTCTGGGTACTCTTCTCAAAGAAGAGGTCTTTTCCGTACCCCTCCGGGGTCTCTGTGGGGCCTTCTTGGGCCTGGCCGCCCAACCCTGCATTTGGACATTTTCCTTCTGAGCTTAGGTTGGACACTGGGAACTGCCTTCTTGGGGGTTCTTCCTGGAATGCTTCTAGGAATTTGGCCTGGGGCTCCCCGCAGTTTCCGGGGGTATGGGGACTGGCCTTGGTGCTCAGAGGAACCAGTGCCAGCTTCTGAGGACAGACGGGGAAGGGGACACTGCAGGTGGACGGGTCACCGCAGGTATAGCTAAAGGAAAGGGTCTCTGGAAGTCTATGACAGCGGGCGCCGTCCTCGGGAACCTGAGCCGGTACCGAATCCAGAGACTCGCCATGGGGTGACATGGTTCTCACTGAGATCTTCTGGCACGTCAGGGGCACTTGCAACTTGGAGAATTCCAACAGGGTGCTCCCAGCAGTGGCCTCGGCCACCTCCGCGACCTTGAGGCCGTCGGCATACACGGCGTAGCCAGTGACCTGGACCCCATTGGAGGACCCAGCTGAGTCGATGGTCACGGGGAGCCAGCTGACCACCAGGAGGCCCGGCGAGGTGTGGTGTTCTACCAGCACGTCCAGTGGAGGGTGCGGGGGTCCTGCCAGAGGCGTGTCGAAGGTGACGGTGGAAGACATTGTCCCCCAGCGTGCCCGCAGCAAGTCCCATGGCAGCCGCACCTCCGCCCGTGCCTGGTATTGCGTGCCAGGGTGTAGGCCGTGGAAGGTGTAGCAGCTCACACCCACGGGGGTCAGGGCACGCTCCTGGTCATCAAGGTACACCACATGGGGATGGCAGCTGCTGCTGTTGACCCAAGTAATCTCCGCTGCTGTGGCCGTGACGTTCTGCAGGTAGAGTTGCATGGGGGTCCCACAGAGGACCCCCTGGGCCCCTAAAAGGGGCCTGGAGAAGTCCTGATCCTCCTCTGTCTTCTGCAGCGAGCCCCATCGGCAAGCTTTCTTTTCATTCTCTAATACCTCTGTTGCCACTTCGGAGTCGGAACTCACCCTTCCCGTCTGGCATGGCCCTCTGTCCACCTCTCCCTGGACTTGATTGGGTGACAAACGGTCTTCTTTTGCAGCTTCGCTCTGCCCTGCTTGGACTCTACTGGAGCTACGGTCAGGGAACTTGGGGGGCAGGCAGCTCTGGAGGTCGCTGTCTGGAATCTGCTCCACCAAATTGGATGGCACCAGCCCCCGCCGGCCATCCTCCAGCTCCCCATCATAGAAGCCATCCTCGTCCATGTCCCCAAAGATAAACACATAGTCCCCTGCCGTGAGGGGCAGCTCACCCTCAGGGTGCTCATTGGGCCCCTCAAATGGGTTATAGCTATACCGAGCCAGGAAGATCTTGGGCTTGGGGGCTGCAGGGGCCTCAGATCCTCCCACTGCCAGGGCTGGGGACGTACTATCGGGCTCCAAGTCATCCACTTCACTGGCTGTGTCCATGTCCAGGGTAGGACAGGATGGCACGGTGGCCCACATGGACTCTACTTCCGAGGAGGAGTTCGACTGGGAGCTGCTTTTCTTGGTCTGGGATCTGGAGTCCAGAGACTGGCCAGGAGGGACTCTGTCTGAGACTTGGGGAGCACTATCTGGTTCCCCAGCAGCCACTGGTCCCTCTGTAGGGGAGGCTTCCCTTTGCCCCTGTTTCTCTCTGCTGAGCCATGCATGATCTTCAGGCCCTTGCGGGAACTTCAGGATTCCGCTGTCCCTGGCTTGGGACTCCAGAGGTTGGGTGGCTTCTCGGGAATGCTCCCCAGGGTGGCCAGGCTGACACTGCAGTACCTGAATCTCCTTCCGGGCTGCCTGGAGGTCGTTCAGGGCCTCCTGCAGGTCGTGCTGCAGCTGCTGCTGCCTGTCCTGCCCCCCTGCCGCCTG